CTGTTTCACAACAGAGCAAGCTGAGCAGTGGACCAAAGATCTCTGGACCCGTCTCGGATATGACAGAGACAATCCTTCCACTTGGGTTTTGGAGAAAATCAACATGCCAATGATCAACAGCATCGATGCCCGTGAGTTTGCACCCCGGGCTTGGGGTGCAATCTGCGAGCTTTGCGGTGGCGAGGAGCGCATCACAGAAAGGTCTCGTGATTGGGGTGACAACTTCATCGTCAATTTCGGTAAACCCAAGCTCAAGGGTCGGATCATCGGCCCCCGTGAAGTGGACAACTGGCACGTTGACGGCGACAACTTCATTCACTACCTGGACTCACCTGAGCAGGGACTTCTAGTTATTCCTTGTATTACAGATGTGCTAGATAATGGCGGCGCTACCTACATTTGCCCTGACGGCATCGGAGTTGTGGCAAAACACCTTCACGATAACCCACAGGGTGTGACGCCGTACATGGCACGCAGGGGGGAGGAAGACCAGTGGAACGAGTTCCAATGGTTCTGGGAGCAAATCAAGGATACGGAGAAGTGTAAACTTTTTCAGCAAATGACAGGAAAGTGTGGCGATGTTGTGTTGATGCACCCGCTGATGATGCATTCCGCTTCGAGAAACTCGCTCCACATCCCGCGCGTCATAACAAATCCCTCGGTCTCTCTGAAAGAGCCGTTCAACTTTAATCGGAATGACCCAAGGGAATACTCGTTGGTCGAGAAAAAGACTTTGAAAGAGCTTGGGGTTACAAACCTGCCAACTTGGAAGATACACGCCCCAAGAGAAAGGCTTACGCCAGGACGAGAAGGGATCCACGCGCGGATGAAAGAGCTCGAGTTGCGAAGACTAGCGGGCGAAAATGTTGGACCGGTCGCAGACACAGGAGTTGAGGTCCACCGAGAAGTTGTCACAGGTTTAGTATGGAAGAAGCCGGATGCTTTAGTTTAGACTTATGTTGTACTTGAACTTCAGTGACGTTTAGTCCAGTAGATCATACGATACCGGTTCTTGAAAATCAAACCCAGCATTATCCTGCACGGCTAGCTCAAAGGGGTTGAAATAGCCCGGCACACCGCCAACAAACTCTCCACCGTAAAGTCCTTGAAAGTGGACAGTGTCCTTGTCCCCTTGGCCAGGAGCGTGCTGTGGATGGTTGGGGCTCAATCCCATGCTTGATATGTCTCCAATTGCTCCTTCTGAATTGATAGGTGTGAGAACTTGAAAATTCTCAGGTTCATGTAATATGTTCTCAGATACGGAGGAGGAAGGATGATTACCATTCTGCTCTTTCGTTCCTCGGACTGCTTGTCGTTCGGTGCTGTTTTCGTCCTGCTCGATGTTTTCAAGTAACTCTTGGCGAGAATGCCGTCGCTTAAGGGGGAGCCCGTCATTAAGAGACGCTTCTGCAGAGCATTGATGACCCTGTCTCTGAACAACCTGACGAATCTCTTGTTGCTGCAGAGGCCGAAGAAAGTTTCAGTCTGTAGCCGAACTATTCGAGCAGGTATAGTTGGAGACATGACACTCACAATGATAGCAACCCGCGGTAGCCTCTTTGCCAACTCATCCAAGAATGAAACATTTGACTCCAACAATTCAGGGATGTGCCTTATTTGTTCCAAAATATCTTCAGGGTTGTCTCTTGGATCAAGATCTCGGCTAGCGAGTAGCACCTTGGTGTTCGAATGAACCAAAACAACGACTGTGGGATCAGAGACGAGAATGTGCTTGGTGCTCGCCACTAATTGCCAAAATCTGCTTTGGATCACAGCTGATTTGATAACTTGTTGTTGGCAGTATCTTAAGAAAGCTACATTGCTTGGGTTTTCATTGATGGACTCGCGAAACCCCGGAAGGCTGAAACGGTACAAGTCGTAGTGGCACTCGTGCCACCAAGACTTCAACATGATGAAAGTGATTCGCTGTGCAGCACTTGGTTGAAGATAGAGGTTTCGATCTGTGAACTTGAGATTCGAGGGAAGTTGCTCTCAAATTGAGAGAGCTGTTGGTGCAGGAAAGAAACTCGTTCTCCAATTGACTCGACATCGAGCTGAGATAGGTCGCGCATGAATCTATATAAGGACTTGTTAGAATAGAACTATGAGAGACATTGACACGCCTTTTCTTTACTTACAAGAGTATCTCACGCCAGATGTCAAAGAGTCTTATCAGAGCCGCAAAGCCGCCAACGTTGGGAATTTGAGTGTCCCCGCAGAATGCCTCCAGCTTTTCTGTTTTCACCTGTAAGTCAGCTAAATAATGATATTCATCACAGGGCAAAATCAGAGCATCCATGAATCTAGAGGAAAGCGAAAATTCATCTACTGTTCCAGCTAGAAGTCGGTCCAGTATGCGAATATTCCACATCATACGTCTTCGGCATTCCATTTCGCTGGATGACCTCGCTCCTGAATCTCCATTTATTTGCAAACAGTAAGCAAGCCGCGCTGCCATACCCAACAGCATCCACGCTTTCCCTAGACTTCTGTTCGAATGGTGATGGTTTGCCCATAGCAGAATGACTTGTAGAGTCATTATTGAAAATGTCCCCAAAGTATTCATAACATACTTGTCGATCTCCTCTGCCCATTGGGCAGCGAGCTCGGTCGCCTCGGTCGTCGGCGAGATGAATCTAGAGGCGGAGACCACAATGACCTTGAGAAGTATTGGTGGCGCTCTACCCTCGTCGATCTCCTGAAGAAGTGTCCCCTGGTGGAGAAATCCGTGGGTTGTAATCGGATAGACGTATTCAAAATAGGCCTCTACGCCTTGTCGAATTGTAATTTTCTTGGAACTTATCTCATCCGGAAGACTATGGCATGTTAGTGCAATCGTTATTGCATTGTTTATATGCTCTCTTACTAGTCTGCTGGGGGAACTCGGCCTCGTGTTTTATCGGACACCTCTCTAGATGTAAGAGGTGTCGGAATATCGTTACCACTAACTCGAATATCAAGCCTAGATTCAGGATCGGGTACGACGCTTTGACATAACTGTCTTTGAAGGCTGGCAGATGAACCCCGACCAAGATCGGCAGCACGTTTGCGGTCGCGTTTGGAAATAGGATAGCTACAGATCAACTCATTCTGTGTGCATCGTTGGCAACCGTCTTCTTCGCCAGAGCACTTCAACTTCTGCGCTGCGCAATTGGAACAGGCTCGGCGGGCTCTATCCCGGAGGATACCGGCCTCCGTAAGGTATCGAGATGGTATTGTTCTTTCTTGCCGCTCTAACATCGTTCCTTCTTAGTGTTACTTGTTTCTAGAAAGCTTGCGTTTCAGGAATTCCAGACCTTGACCGATGTGGACGTTCTCATACCGGCACTCAACTCCACGCTTTGCGCAGTTCGCGCACGGATTGGGAGCCGAGCTGTCGCATTTGAGCTTTGGGTAGTTAGCATGTCGCCAATGTTGCATGCTGGCACTTCGGGGTTCGATCACCTTACGTCTCCAACAAGTCCAGCAGCCAGTTCTACGGCTTTGTCGATGCATACTCATGATAGCGCGGAAATTTTACCTATATGAATGCTCTTGTAATGCATTTGGAAGAAAGAAGGGGAATGATATTGAGGTTCGTGTGCAGATGGCCCCGTATGGCTAGCATTGACCCGGAGCCCGAGAGCCGATGTGGGGATGCCGGGAACGACCCGGATGCAGCTCGAGAGCCGCGAAGCCCGGAGTCAGAATCCGAACATCAATCGAGAAGCACCGGACGACTTCAAGATAATGTTCACAGAAGACGACATTGTGAACGAATTTGCACACGTCTATTTGCGGTCTCGTTCTGTAGGCCTATCTGCCTACTCGACCATATCTAAATTCATCCTGAAATACGGTACCTTGGGTCCAACCCTTCGCGAATGAGGGTACCAGTGCTCAATGCTGAATCTGATTCCATCTGCGACACCGGGAAATGTTGGAGGGTTTTTGCGGTCCATCACAGCGTCCTTTGCACCTAATTCAAAGAGCAATGAGATGGTCATAGCGTCGACTTACAGTAATCTCTTGAGGAGAAGATGTTAGATAATTCCACAGTACGATAAGGATTTTCTTAGTTGCCAACAGGTGCCGAACGCCAGGATATATGGGAAAGCACTGTTTTTTTGGTGCTGATCGGCCGCTTATCCATAAGTGACACGGCAGGGCCAATGGCACGTTTTGATGGTGGCAGCTGTCATCAGCTCACCCCTGGCATTGCGTGCGATCGCTATCGATGGCGATATCCCCCCTATCACCACACAGATGGCCCGGTCCGCCACATAAGCCATACTTTAAAAGAGATGCGACAATCAGCGATCCATCTGATGTGATTAGTTCCCAGCAATCCTGTTGGCTGCAGTACTGTTTCACCCGCGCCCGCGGCTGAGACAGTGGGTGCGAAATTGGTCAGCATCACGGATCCCATGGGTGGCACTGCTCGGATATCCAAGGCAACACCACGACCCAGCTGCATGATGTGAGCCAGTCTTGCTGGCCGCAAAGCAGCCAGGTGCATATTAATGGCAGTGAGTGCCATCGAACTTGAAGATCAAACGAGACTGCCCGACACTATCGACGAAGCCGACGCGATGACACTCGACAGCCAAGAAGATCGCCCGCTGCTTGAGCGCGATTTTTCCACGGATGCACCTCCGGACGGACGAAAGTCGCAGGATAGCGATGATGAGGAGGTTGGCACCGTCGAGGACTATCCTCGCAATATCGAGAATAGCGTTTTACCAGAGACATCGAATCTAGGCCGGCATCTGACATGGCAGTCCGCTTACATCCTCGTGATATCGCGTGTCATAGGGAGTGGGATCTTTGCAACGCCTGGAGCTGTCGTTCGATCCACTGGTAGCATCGGTCTCTCGCTGCTGCTTTGGACTGTTGGGGCTATCGTCGCGGCGTGCGGACTGGCCGTGTCGCTTGAATATGGCTGCATGTTGCCCAGGTCTGGCGGGGAGAAGGTATATCTCGAATTCACATACCGAAAACCACGATTTTTGGCATCGACCATGGTAGCAGTCCAGGCAGTCATCCTAGGGTTCACAGCCAGCAACTGCATAGTCTTCAGCCAATATGTCCTGTTCGCCTTAGACATCGATGCAACAGACTTTGTTAGGAAAGCACTTGCCGTCGGGCTCCTGACTGCCATCACGATCGTCCATGCATGTCTACCCAAGACCGGCGTTGTTATTCAAAATGTATTAGGATGGATTAAAGTTGGGTTGATAATTTTCATGATCTTTGCCGGGCTCTTCGTGGTCATCTTCCAGCCTGGTCGTACAGCAGCCGATCCACGACAGTCGTTAACCTGGGATGGATTGTGGAAAGACTCCGACTGGAGCTGGGGAGTTGTCGCAACATCTCTTTTCAAGGTGTTTTACTCATACGCAGGTTTGAATAACGCGAACAACGTCCTCAACGACGTCAAAGATCCCGTCCGAACCTTAAAGTCTGTGTCTATTTCCGCTCTGGTTACCGCTCTTATTCTGTACACACTCGTTAATATTGCATACTTCATTGTTGTACCCTTGGACGAGATCAAGGAAAGCGGCGAGCTCATTGCAGCTCTTTTCTTTGAGCGCAGCTTTGGGCCGAACGTCGGCAAGAGGATCTTACCCTTAGCGGTCGCCCTCTCTGCGGGTGGCAATGTCATGGTCGTGACGTATGCATTGGTATGGTAATTACACATGGGCAAGACTAACATTGGTTGCTGACGTGCTTGTGTTCAGGCTCGATTAAACCAGGAGATTGCCCGACAAGGCTTCCTCCCCTGGGCTGAGCTTTTAGCTTCCTCCAAGCCATTCAACGCTCCGATGGGAGGCTTGATTGTACATTACATTCCTTCGTTTCTTGTCATTGCGCTTCCCCCGTCAGGAGATGTCTACTCTTTCATCCTCGACGTCGAAGGATATCCGGGCCAGTTCTTTGCTCTCGCCACATCGCTCGGTCTTATATGGCTGAGGTTTAGGAGGCCTGATCTGAACCGTCCTTTCAAGGCTTGGCTTGGTGCTGTTCTTCTCAGAGTAGCGTTGAGCCTCGCTCTAATAGCTGCGCCTTTCTTCCCGCCAAAAGAAAAGACGGGTGGTATCTTCTATGCTACTTACGCCATTGTCGGCATTGCTATGTAAGTCTTCAAGTTCTTGGCGCCTATATTTCCACACTAACACAATCATCGCAGAATACTATTCGGGTTCGCGTATTGGTATATTTGGACGATCCTGATTCCTCGATGGAAAGGCTATCGGCTAGAGGAGAAGTCGGACATATTAGACGATGGCGTTACAATCACCCGCTTGGTACAAGTACCACTTTAGATCTACTCCTCGTTATCTACTTAGACATAGAATGCCTCATGGATACCACAAATCCCGAGGCACGGTGATCGATAATTTTATAGCTAAATGTCGAGTAGCATATAGAGGATCACGAGGAGTCTTGGTTTCATTTCATCTTGTAATTGGGATAGGGAATCACTATTACATCAAAATTGGTGCCGAAAACTATCTAGAAATGGATGTTGGCTGTCGAACGACTACTGCGAGTATGCTAGGTACCTGGTAGTCAAGTGGTGGCTGCCTGGCAATCTGTAGGTCTGTAATGACACTGTAGCGGAAAGTGGCCTCAGACACTCTAGGACCTGAAATGCTAGGCGCGTAGTGCTGAGGTTGCTGATCTTTTGCCCGTGTCGATCTGGTCTGGTACATGTACTCTGCGGGTTCCAGGGCAGCATCTTTTACAATGTCAGCCTTCCAGAGCACTCTGTAGGCGGCGTAGGAATGTCACTGACCCGCATCTGAACACGGCACAATGCCGTGCTCCGTCGGGGCAAAATTGGAGTGACCCCTACCCCGACCGGAGGGACGACCCACACCGTTGGCCATTTGACGGAGACTTATATATCGTGAAAGCTCCCTCGCGCGTTCCTCCTTTATGCTTGGAGGTGCTTCGCTCTGCTTCGGAGACTTTAGCGGGCAATTGGAAGACCAGAAGGATTGCTGGCAAGGGCCCACCCCCACGGCTGGGGGAGATGGGGTAATACGCTGCTGAGGCTACGGCCCCCTGCGACGAAGGCTTCTGATTTGGAAATGATGTTGCGATGCCCAATCAGATCAATAACAGTATGTTTCCAGAAGTCTATGGCTGTGCCGCTTCTCGAAGTATATATCCAAGCGTTGGACTTGACAAAAAAGAGACAATGCCTGTTGCGAGATGATCAAGCACCATGGCTGGGACAGAGCACACGATCAAAGTACCGAACAACGACCAGAGAAGCACTATGACCAGCGAAGACTTGCCAGAGGTGCCGGCTGTACCACCCCAGAACGACACCCCCAAGGCCTACAATCGAGACTGGCGGTTCTGGGCCATCATCGCGACGCTGTGCGTCATCAGCATCCTTGCTTCGCTTGAAAACACGGTCGTGACTACTTCCCTCCCTTACATTGTCACCCAGTTGGACTTGGGCGAGAATTACGTCTGGGTGACAAACGTATTCTTCCTCACGAGGTACCTGCAATCTGAGACCGTAAGATTTGGACAGCATTATAGCTGACCATGCCAACAGTGCAGCAGTGCAGCCTCTGTTCGGCCAACTAGCGAATATCTTCGGCCGACGATGGGTGACCATGACCATCGTGGCGCTTTTCACACTCGGCAGTGGCATTTGCGGAGGCGCCACGAACGGGGCGATGCTCATCGCCGGTAGAGCCATCCAGGGCATGGGCAGCGGAGGGATTAACATGATAGTGGACGTGATCATCTCTGACCTTGTGCCGCTTAGAGACCGTGGCAATTACATGGCCTGCGTGCTGACGGTCTACTTCGTGGGGACTGCGCTGGGCCCCTGGGTAGGGGGCATCATTGTTGATTCCATTAGCTGGCGGTGGGTCTTCTACATCAACTTGCCGGTACGTGACCACTAAGCACCAAGACTAGAAGCACCAGAACTAATCCAGGAGACAGGTCGGCGGTATGAGCATGGTGATGATATTTCTCTTCCTTCAAGTTCGTTACAACAAGGAGATGTCTTTGTCCAAGAAGCTACAGCGAATCGATTACATTGGAAACTTCCTCATTGTCGCATCTACGGTCGCCATTCTTTACGCACTCACGTATGGTGGAGCCCTCACACCGTGGTCATCATGGAGGATCATCCTACCTCTCGTCCTCGGCCTTTTCGGTTTGATATTGTTCATGGTCTTCGAGACAGCCAACTTCGTCAAGGAGCCCGTGGTACCACCACGGCTCTTTGGCAACCGCACGTCAGCAACGGTCTTTTTCATAACATTACTCAACGCAATCCTCCTCTACTGGGTCCTATTCTTCCTACCAGTTTACTTCCAAGCCGTCCTCGGCAGCTCTCCCGCTCGAGCCGGCGTACAGCTACTGCCCATAATCGTCATTGCCGTCCCCGCTGCCATTATGGCCGTACTCCTACTCGCCAAGTTCGGCAAGTACAAGCCTTTGCACTTGTTCGGCTTCGCCGTCTCCACACTCGGAATGGGCCTCTTCACGCTCCTCGACGAGCACAGCAGCGCGGCGGAGTGGATCATCTTCCAGATCATCGCCGGAGGCGGTGGCGGCTTCGTGCTTAACACCTTACTACCCGCGTGCCAGGCTCCGCTACCGGAAAGCGACCAGGCGGCCATCACGGCAGCTTGGTCGTTCATCCGTAGCTTCGGTTCCATCTGGGGCGTCGCCATTCCCGCTGCCGTGTTCAACAATCGTTTCTCGCAGTTGGTCGTCAACATTAGTGATCCTCAGGCTCGCAGCATTTTCGGTGCAGGCGATGCGTATCAGTTTGCCTCGTCGAGCTTCCTGCAATCGTTTGCCCCTGACGTGAGGGAGCAGGTTGTACGTGTGTATAGCGAGAGCCTGAAGCGGGTGTGGCAGATCTCGATTGTCTTCGCTGGGGTGGCTTTCCTCCTTGTCTTCCTGGAAAAGCAGATCAAGCTGCGAACCGAGCTGGAGACAGAGTTTGGCTTGGAGGAGAAGAAAGCCGAGCAAATGGAAGATGCGGAGGGGAGTGTAGGTAAAGATCACCAGTCTTGCAAGACAGTGATTGAATCCGACGTTCAAAACTCGGCTTGATCAATGGTCCACGGGCATTACTTGTAGGTCGCAGAATCGTATCGGGTTACACTTCACCTTTTAGGCCCATCTTGTTTGGCTACTGAAAACATGAAATGAAACCATTGAAACCCGGTCTCGATTATTCACATTTAAAAGCAGGCTTGAAAAATGTTCGAAAAGAATCTGTTTGGTATGGGCTTAAACATGACATCAAAAAGACAATCCCATAACTATGCGTTTTCCAGTTTCAAAGGGTCGAGTCACCCCAATCTATCAATCTCCCGTCCAAACGACTGATTCATTGCAAGTCCACAAATCTACCACACCCAGCGAAAAGTTGCACCACGCAGTGAAAACCCCAATGGAGCGAGCGAAAGCACTTAGGCAGCCTTTGTAATCTTGCAAACTAGATCAGTTCCGTCGACAGAGTCGCCTTCCCTGACCATTAGTGAAGAGACCTTGCCGTTGTGCGGGGCAGAGATGACCATTTCCTGTGAACAATTCGTTAACTAGATATCGGGGTTTTTCATAAAGCATTAGACTTACCATCTTCATCGCAGACAGAACGGCAAGAGGATCGCCCTTCTTGACCTCGGATCCGTCCTTGACTCGAAGCTCAACCAACACACCAGCCATCGGAGCACCGACCTGGCTGGAGTCGCTGGGGTCGGCCTTGGGTCGGCTGACGTTTTCGACGCTCGCTTGCTTGTCGTCGACAGTGACTTGTCTGACTTCCCCATTCATTTCGTAGAAGACCTCACGCTGGCCAGTGTTCTCGCTAAGAGGACCGACGGCAAGCAACTTAAGGATGAGAACCTTACCCTTCTCAAGCTCAACGTGGAACTCCTCGCCAATCTCAGGCTTCGAAAGGAAGTACTTGGTGGGCAGAACTGACAGGTCGCCGTACTTCTGAATGAACATCTTGTAATCCTCGAAGACCTTGGGGTACATGACATACGAAGCGACATCGCACTCAGTAACGCCACCACCAAACTTCTTAGCAAGGTCGCGCTTCACCTTGCCGAAGTCGACGGGCTCGAGGAAGAGACCCGGCCGCTTGTCAAGCTTCCTGCGACCACGGAGAGCATTGCTGCGGAGGGGTTCGGGGAATCCGCCGTATGGTTGACCCATCATACCCTCGAAGAATTCTAGAACTGAGCCAGGGAAATCTAGCTCAGCTGCCTTCGCTTGCACATCCTCCGAGGAGAGCTTGTTGGAGACCATAAACTGAGCCAGATCGCCAACAACCTTGGAAGTTGGCGTGACCTTGACGATGTCGCCGAGAAGATCATTGGCGTGCTCATACGCCTTCTTGGTTTCGAGCCACTGTGAACCCAGGCCAAGCTGTTGAGCCTGGAACATCATGTTGGTTAGCTGGCCGCCTGGAATTTCATGCTCGTAGACCTCAGGATCTGGTCCAGCAAGGTGAGCCTCGAATGGCGAGTAGAGAAGGCGGAGTTGCTGCCAGTAGGTGTCAAGGGCTCGGACATGATGAACGTTCAGGCCCGGGTCGAGGTCGCTGCCCTCGAGAGAAGCCAGTACAGCGTTGATGCTGGGCTGAGAAGTCATACCAGACATACTGTCCGTAGCGGCGTCAACGGCGTCGGCACCGGCCTGAGCGCAAGCAACCATCGAGGCCACACCGGTACCCGCTGAGTCGTGAGTGTGGACGTGGATTGGTAGATCCGGGTACTTCTTTCGAATAGAGCCAATAAGCAACTTGGCAGCGTGAGGCTTTAAGACGCCGGCCATATCCTTGATGCCGAGAACGTGGATGTCGAGAGCAACAAGCTTGTCAACCAGGTCAAGGTAGTATGGCAAGTTGTACTTCTTCTTGGGGTTGAGCATATCTCCACTGTAACAGACTGTGCCCTCAACAACACCTCCAGCCTTGTGAACGGCCTTGATACCAACCTCAAGCTGGTCGATATCGTTCAAAGCATCGAAAACTCGGAAAATGTCTACGCCGTTCTTCTTTGCTTGGTCGACAAATTGATCGATGGCATTATCGGGAAGAGACGCGTATGCAACGCCATTGGCGCCTCGAAGAAGCATTTGAAAGGGAATGTTGGGAATCAGCTTGCGCATTTTCCTCAAACGATCCCAAGGATCCTCGTAAAGGAATCGATATGCCACATCAAAAGTTGCGCCTCCCCAACATTCTAGACTGTAGAGATTCGCGAGAGCATGGCTCGTCTCCTTGGCAATGTTGCAAAGATCCACAGTACGGACACGAGTTGCCAGCAAAGACTGATGAGCATCTCGCCAAGTGGTGTCCATAAGCAGAGTTCCCTTGTATTCACGAACAGCCTTGGCGAACGCCTTGGGTCCTTGCTCGACAATGATCTGTCTCCAACCCTTCTGGCATGGCTCGGTAACATCGATCTTGTTACCAGCCTCATCCAAGAGCACAGGGTGAATGATATCACCTTTGAACTTTGGCTCACCAACTTGACCCTTGATACTACTGCCGTTGACGGCAAGATCTCCGAGGTAAGCCAACAATTTTTGTGCGCGATTCTGACCACTGACAAGATCGAATAGCTGTGGAGTATCATCGATCTACAAAATCTGGAGTCAGCATTTCTTGATGGCCATATCAGCTTTAAAAAACGGAAGTTACGTACGAACGTAGTCCAACACGTTCCTTCTATAAACGTGGGGTGTGTAAGCAGAGAGGTAACGAAGGGAATGTTTGTCTTCACGCCTCGAATTCGAAACTCAGTCACGGCCCTGAGTGATTTTCTTCTCGCTACAATGTTCGGAATCAGCAATTGGCCTTTGAGAATAGTAAGGTAGTAAGAGAGGGTCTTGATACGCCGTATCTCAGGCGTAAATCTCCGCATTTCCCGTGTCTTTCTTTGCAGTACTCGAAAGTTGACCATAGCAAGTGTAAAAAAACTCTAGAAGCTCACCTATCTCATACGTGCTACCGTGGCATGATACCTATATTATTATGTAATGTCAGCTTATAGCAATTTTCAATAGATCGGAGAAAGGAATCCTCGTTCTCGGACCACTAACCTTGCAAAGCATCGAGTCATAGTATGCTATTTGCGATCACAGTTAGCTAAACAATCCGATATTTTGTTGGAGAACAAGTTTAACGACCAGTGAACAGATAGAGGAGCAGGAGGGAACCCCAGAGCCCAAGAGTATTGAAGGTAGTAAACGGGTAGCGTTTAGTAGCAATCCACGAAATTCATGAACACTCAAGAAACCTCGACAACTCGGATCGACTAATCAAAAAGGAAAAGACACCGAAGCTGTTTGAGAGGGATAATGTGGTACGAAATATGAGAAAAGGGAGTGGCTGCTCACGTGTAATGACAGCCCCTGCAAACCCATTGCCACCATCGAGACGAACACCATTGCCGCCAGCGGATCTGTATACTTCAATCTTCCCGGTATCGGGTTGAAACGCCTTCGATGGATCTTCTGTGGTGATTCGGCATTGAATGGCGAAGCCGCGGGTCGAGATGCGGTCCTGGGTGAGGCCAAGCTGCTGAAGGGTAGCGCCCGCAGCGATCTGAATCTGAGCAGCAACAATGTCGATGCCGGTAATCTCCTCGGTGATAGTGTGCTCGACTTGAATACGGGGATTGATCTCGATAAAGTAGTAGCGGTTCTGCTGGTCGACCAGGAACTCAGCGGTACCGGCGTTGCGGTAGTTGACGGACTTGGCCAGCTTGACAGCGTCGTTCAGGATAGCATCACGAACTTCGGTAGGAAGATCCTTGGCCGGGGCAATCTCGACGACCTTCTGATGTCTTCGCTGGACTGAGCAGTCACGCTCGTACAGATGGACAATGTTGCCGTGGTTGTCTCCAAGCAACTGGACCTCAATGTGCTTGGGCTTGTCGAGGAAACGCTCAACAAAGACAGTGCCATTGCCAAAAGCAGACTTGGCCTCAGAAGTAGCTCGCTCAAAAGCCTCCTTGAGCGACTCCTGGTCTCGCACAACACGCATGCCACGACCACCACCGCCATATGCTGCCTTGATGATGATGGGGAAGCCATATTGATCCGTGAAGGACTTCACCTCCTCAAACTTCTCAACCGCACCTTTTGTACCGGGGACGACGGGGACATCGGCAGCGATGGCAAGTTTTCGGGCAGAGACCTTATCACCAAGGGCGTCGATAACATCTGGAGAGGGGCCGATAAACTGAAGAGGGAGTTTAATGTTAGCGTAGCTTAGCAACAAACGCAGCACAGCGAATTGGCCTCTTACAATCAAACCCGCCTTCTCGACATTACGAGCGAATTCTGCATTTTCGGAGAGGAACCCATAGCCTACGTTGCATATGTTAAAAATGTTTGAAATCGCACTGCTTTACAATATCAGCCTTACCAGGATGGATCATCTGGGCGCCATGCTCCAGGGCAATCTTGATGATCTCGTCGCCAGCGAGATAAGCTCCAACTGGAGTATACTGTCCGCGCTTACCAATGACGTAGGCTTCGTCGGCCTCTATAATAATGATATCAGTGCAGTCCAAAGCCATTAAGGGTAAAATAATCGCTCATACTCTGCCTGTGCATGCTAAGACGATCCTCATAACTACACAATTAGTTGACTGCAGAGGATCTGGAGCTCTAAGGACTGTACCTGAAGACAGCGATGGTGTGAAGTGACAGTTCGTGGGCCTATTTTCTCTCGTTAGACAAGACTGCTCGCCTCCTGCGGCTCAACGGTAGAAAGTAGCTTGACAATTCGCAGGAGGAGCGATAAGAGACACATACCGTTCTGAAAATCTGTAGCGCATTGTCGTGTGAGCTTGGACCTTGCAATAGAAGCTTCTTGAGAGATCAGTAGGCAACATACACGGATGGCTATCGGAAAGGGCGGTTAGCAAGACGATCGGCTGCAGCGCCAGAGCAGAAAGGGACATTAACTTACGAATTTCACCTCGGTTGGCCACTGTTGCGCGAGAAAGGAGCTTGTCAGCATTGTTGTTACCCCAATTGGGGCCCAATTGGGTGCTCTGGAAGCATCACTAGATGCGCGAGGGGCCCCCAGAGCAATAGAGAGCAAACGCACCGAGGATCTTGTTCAATTGCATGATGGTGGAATTGGCACGGATGCGATGAATGGTCTGAGGCGGCGCAACGCCATCCTCAAAGACGTCCTCATACTGGGACGCAGTCCCGTTGTCGGCCATGGTGACTCAATTGACCGCGAGGGACGGGATATCGTGGTAAAGAGTCGGACAGAGGAAGCTGTCGAGAGCTTCTCTTGTGTTGGGAGATGACAGTTGATCCGCGGGGTGGATTGATGGTGGGGTGTTCGATTTCCAGCAAAAAGCCAAAGCTCTGGTGGAGCTCTCGGCTAGAAGGATGCGCCGGCGATTCTTCAGCTGCCAGCAAGCTTCTGACCGGGCAGCAAGCAGGCAGACAGGAATGATGCCAGGTATGCGACAGAGAGGGGAGACACTGGAATGTAGAGATCCCAGAGGGTGAGGTTATGACTCAATACAATCAAATGTATCACACTCTCGGACAGCTACCGGAGAAAGAGACAAGAAAAGAGAGGGACCAAAGTCAAGAGTGTGGACGGGGCAAGGCGAACCTTAAAAGTGTTCTGCTAGTCTCAGACCCAACCAGGGCTTAGGGCAGTTGGAGAGTGAGTCGTGAGGTGAAGAGAGAAGCTTGGAAGGTGAGGGGATTTCTGCTCCCGTCTGGTCTCTTGAGGTTAGTTCAGGTACTTTGTCGGTTTGTCTTTAATCACTCTATTACTCTACGCATATATTCATGTGCGAGACTTCTGTCGCAGCCACGACAGCTTCCCCCGGTCTGTCTCAGTCACAGTAGCTGATCCCGGCATCATACAGTAGTAGTGTCCAGCAGGTCACTACGCTATGAAGATACAATTTACAGGTATTCGATCGCCCAAAGTGGGATGCATGGCCGGTGGCCCTGGCCAGAGATCATCGAGCCCGGCGGGCAAATCACCGGTTACGTACTGAGTAGTAGTCGCGCATTTTGGGGGCTAGTCCTGTGGAGGAGCTGCGCCAGTGCATCGGTTTGAGGCGGCAGAAATAGCAGTATCCGAACCAAACACCCCCAGTGGTTGAGCCCGTGTATCTGGCATGATCCACTGGCCTGGTGTTGATACAACCAAGTGGGCTGTTTCTCACTGCAAGTCACAGCATCTTTCTATCTCACGGCGCTCAAGTCAAGTGTCTCATTGTTTCGGTGGCCATTGGATAGTCTTACATGCTCTCTAGTCTTGACGGCGATACAAGGTGCAGAATGACACTGTCGGTGACAGGACAAAAGTTGGCAGATCCTGGTGGGTGTAGCAGAGCCATTGATTAGTTTTCCCCATTCAAATTCCCATTCACATCAGGCAAGCTAGCAATGTACTTTACTCGAGCTATGGCTTCAGCCATCCCACCTGGCTGGCATGTGCTACACTAAGGCAAAGACCTCCTGGCCCCTGGCCCCCCACCGATCAAACATATCCCTGGCCAATCTTTCTGGTCATGCGTGCTACAGAAACCAGTGGGATGGCGCGGATTGGCACCTTTCCTTTTTATCAAATAATTGCCGCTTTGACACCAACTATCAGGTAGGGCAGAGAGACAGATGTGCTCTATGCAAGCGCACCAGTATTAAATTGTAAGTAATGGGGGAGATTGGGCTGCATATTGTAGTGCACGCAGATAGTTACATGATGTATATATACCGGGAATACTTCACGATGCAAGATACAACCAACCAGGACTGGTCCTCATCCACTAGATGCCTTAGCCAATTGAGACCAACGTTTACTAACGGCTCTTCCTCCATCATGATCACCATTAATCCTGCCAGTAGGAAACAACAATGGGCAGCTTTGTCCTCGGTTCTTCATTACGATAAGACCCGATCCAAACATCATTGATGGCCTTGAGATCCGTAGTTATCGGTCAACTCGGTCAACGCGTTTTCGTGAAGCCGAGGATAACGGCACCCTGAGCCTCAAACGCGTCTCGGCTTAAGAGGGGACGAGGTGTTCCTGACTATTTTCGAGCGCCTCCCATCGCGGGGTAAGGCGCCTCTGTTTCTCCAGAACTTTCATACTTGTGCCCCTAACGTTATCATGTCGTGCCCAGTTCGGGCCAATGTCGACGGCTACTATGCTGAGGGCCATCAATGAACCGAGATCAGACCCGCTCCCGTCCGTCAGCCTTCGCTTTTCCTGAACCGACTGATATCAGACTTCCCCTTCCCCCGGCCTCACTCATCACTATTCACCTTGGAAATCTAAGATCGCCTGCGGCATGTTGCAGACGCCACTGGAAGCACTGACCCCCTTGATGCCGTACATGTACAAAGCTGCTCTCCTGCATTGCATTACTGCTTAGTATGCGCTAGCAATTACGACTTGAGGTATTAATTGTTCTGCACTTTTCTTGGCTCTCACGCAGCAGCAGCACCAGCAGAGGGAATTGACAAGCTCCGGCCTCTAACAAACTGAGCATTGACTCATATCCAGCCGCTTGGATTGGCTCGTGAAGCTGGTCCCCAGAAAGAAAGCCCATCTACTCCGCGAGTGGACACTTCTCTCGTAGTTTGCTTGTGTCATCGTTGAAAATTAGAGCTCAATTTTTCTATAGCTCAACAACACCTCAGCTCCGACCTCGGCTACAGCGGTTAATGCAAGCACGTACCACCTAGGTAAGGCTGATGAAATGATTGATGACAAGGCTCAATGGGCCCTTCGATCGCCAGAACATCCTTTACCTCTAACTACGCTTCTTTGGGACATGGTCGTCTTCTTGGCTAGATCAGCTATATTGTGAAGCACATCTGCAACGGCCAAAACTTTTCTCTCCCCAACCGTACTGGCGGCTAAACATGGCTTTTGACGGCACCCTGTCACCGAACTTGGTCCGAACTTCGGTGTTGATGGAGCTCTCGCGATCATTGTGTGATGTAAACGTAACAATATATTATATCCCTAGGAGTCATTCCCTCTGAGTCACTTGCAGGATGCTGGCGCATGCTACGAGATGCCGGATTCGTGGAGGTTCCCGGTCCCGGATGAACCAAACACGAAACAGCCAGGCGTTCAATCAACATGAGGTTTGCCGGTTTGGGTTTCGTGCGTATGCCATACACTACTCCGTGAATATTGTACGATAGCCCGCGGGCATCTCTAATGGAAAACTCTATGGCGCCAATACCGTGCTCCGGTCCGTGCCTCGGCCAACCCCGTCTGCCGAAGTTATCTTTAGCAGTACCGGAACAGCCAAGCATACAGAGCGAAACAAATCCGTTTCAAGCGCTAGCCAGACAGCTTCTCTTTTTTTGTTTTAAGATCAAGTAAATACTACTCCATTAAGCATTGCTTGCTGCATAAATCCATGTTGGCTGCTATTTCCATATCCCTTGGTAGCAATCGGCTGTCTGAATACACCCGCATGATACAGACCCTTATAAACCGTTCCACCGCTAGCTGTGGCAACCGCCCAGACGCCTTGAGAGTCTGCCATGCCCGTTTGTCGACATTGTTTCCGTCTTTTAGAGAGTGTCTCTAACTCTAGATGACGAAGCTTTATTTGCTTATGGCTTCCTTGACCTGACCTTCAACCTTCTTCGCCTCGCCCTTAGCCGTGTCCAGAGCTCCCTGCACGCCCAGCTTCTCCTTGCCTCCCCATCTGTTGTAGTCCAAGAATCGGTAGCCCTGTGTCAGCTGGGCGCCCTCGTTGACGAAGTGGCACAGGAACAGGAGGTAGTTCTTCGGAGTGACGGCCATGGAGTAGCGCATAAAGGTCGCGGAGTAGATGCAGAGGGCAAAGGTCATGGGCCCAGAGATTCTGTCCAGGGTTAGCTCGTCACCGAGTCCAATTTGCACCTCATAGAGCTAGAGCTCTCGAAAGATGACCGGGTGGGCAAGGTAGGTAAAGATGGAGACGTACAGTTCAGGACTCTTTTGCGTGTCCATGACAGCTGCGATGGGAATACCGAAGTTCGATACTGGACCCCAGAAATCTGAGAGAATTGGTCAGCTTCTTGCACTTCAAGAGATGTTTCTTGGAAACCAAGATAGCGCCGAGGAAGCTAGTTTATCATCCAAACTTATGAAGCTTTCGCAATGACCGCAGCAAAATCCAAGTTGCTTAACCGTGCGGGAATGAAGCGCGACGAGTGCAGCATCACCAGGTGTGGAAGACAGCTCTGGAAGTTTTTGTTCCGGGAGTATCGGGGGATGTCCGATGACGGCATGCGCGAAGGAAATGTAGTTTACATACGTGTTGAGCAGACATAGTCGGTGACTGGGTTTGAGCGAATCTTCGCGTTGATAGCTTTGACAAAGGCTGCCATTTTGACGGCTTGTGCTGTCAATTGAATGTGATGGCAGTTGGTTGTGATGTTGGGGTATCTCAAGGTCAATGTTGAATCTCCGTAAATAAATTTGGGCTCCCGTCATTGGACAGTCGCAATGTCAGGTACGTGCTTTCCCATCTTGAGGGGGTCACGTGCGCCATCTCTATAGTATCAACGCCAGAGGCATAGCATCTGGATAATGTTTGAATTAGAGATTCACGCGCAGTAATACGGGTTTGCATGTCTTCATCTTGTTCCATTCTCAAACAGAAAGACCCGAGTCTATGCTAGAGTACAGCAAGGTATCCTCCAATCTGTGATTTTCGCAACCCACCCTGAACGCCGACCAAAGTGCAATATCCTGTCACCGAACAACTGCCCTGCTTCATATGAGGCTTCCAGACACGTCCAATCATCTTCGAGGAGGAGGGTTGAACCCTGCAGGTGGAGGGCCGCCCGAGGGGAAGCCAGGCGGTGGGAATTGGCCACCTGGTCCGGGAGGGAAACCGGCAGGAGGGAAACCACCAGGGAATCCAGGCGGTGCGCCAGCTAAGGTCCAGTTAGTATTCAGCATGGAGGTACTTGTGTATGTTGACTCACGACCACCTCTGCCTCCAAATCCAGGTGCGCCAGGGAATCCAGGGAAGCCTGCAGGAGGCGCGCCAGCTCCAACACCAGCAGCAGGGCCCTAGACGGCATTAGTTTGCAACATACAAATACATTTAGCAAGAAACTTACAGCGAGAGACATAGGGGGAGCAGCACCTCGGCCAGCCGGACGCGCAACACCAGGGCCAGCTGCGAGAGTCGATGAAATGCCTCCACCAGAAGTCTTGCCCAAGCGAGCACTAGGATCCGCTGGCGGGGGAGACTCGACGGATAACGAGACAATATGAGCACCGCGAACAATTGTTAGACCTAGAGTTCGTTTCTCTTCCTGTTCGATAGTCTGGCCTGATGAGCTTGCTGCGCCGGGAGCTGCAGGCTTGTTCTGCTTCTTCTTAATGCGTCGAAATTCTTCGGTATCGGCAAGAACTAGGTTCATGTGCTACGGTGTTGTTAGCTACTGAAATAACGCATAATCCGAACTGTATAAGCGTACCTTGTCGAAAGCCAGCATCTGCCCGGTCATCTGACGGCCATCGTTCAAGGTAACTCTCATCCGGTAGTTGATCTGCAATTGATATCAGCATCATTCTCCTCCCATGGATACTTCGATTCAGATAAAGATAAAGCGGAATAGGGTTTGTTCGCAAATGTACGTACGTAGCCGGCCTAGAGATGCAGTTGTTAGCATGAGCACACCAACGCCCAAGAGCATGAGGATCGCGGTGAGGGATACTGACCATCTTGCCCTGCTTGTTGCCGGACGCCATGATTGGTAGAAGTAGCTGCAAGCAGCTGCTTCAACTATGCTCAAAAATTGGACTTTGGTTTGCGAAGTCACTGATTGACTTCTTGGTCGCGGTCTCGATAGCTCCTCTCAAAGCTCTCAAGTCCAGCGATGGGTGTTTGGATGCCAAAGGAATTTTTAGCTCCAATAGACGCGGCTGAGGAGAAGGCTACGAGCCTCTCTACCGCCACCAGCTGAAGCTTGGGCCAACACAGATTCTTGCGCTAGCCGGGTCTAGATTAGCGCTTCGTCGCCAACCATTCCGCCAATCATTTGTTAGGGCATCTTAGAGGAGGAATTTGGGCACACACTTTTTTCTCAAAATTCCCACTACATCAACTCCATCCTTCAACCATCGCCAGAGTTCCTCGTCGACTTTCCAGTCACGACAATTGACATCACCCAGCCATCATGGTACGGTATTCACATCGCTCTAAAATATGATTCATTGCTGATGGTGATTTTCCAGTCTGAGAAGGCCCAGAACCCCATGCGGGAGCTCCGCATCCAGAAGCTCGTCCTGAACATTTCTGTCGGCGAGTCTGGTGACAGACTGACCCGTGCCGCCAAGGTGCTCGAGCAGCTGTCCGGTCAAACCCCCGTCTACAGTACGTCAACTCGATCTCCCGGACTTTGATTTTTGAAGGATGTAAATACTGATAATTTCTGTACAGGTAAGGCCCGTTACACCGTCCGTACCTTCGGTATTCGACGTAACGAGAAGATCGCTGTCCACGTCACCGTCCGTGGCCCCAAGGCTGAGGAGATTCTCGAGCGTGGCCTGAAGGTCAAGGAGTACGAGCTGCGCAAGCGCAACTTCAGTGAGACCGGCAACTTCGGCTTCGGCATCAGCGAGCACATCGATCTTGGTATCAAGTACGACCCCGCCATCGGTATCTACGGCATGGACTTCTACGCCTGCATGACCCGCCCCGGTGAGCGCGTCGTCCGCCGCCGCCGATGCAAGGGCACCATCGGCTCCAACCACCGCATCAACCGCGACGAGACCGTTAGATGGTTCAAGCAGCGCTTCGACGGCATCGTCCGATAAATCTCTGGGGTTTTGTGAACTGGAATTTTGCATGGTTCATGGAGTGAAATCGGGGTTCTAAAATGGTTTCCGGACGTGTACATGAAGCAATACCTGACGAACAAAGTTTCGTCATTCTCTCTAGCTTGACTTGAATTTATTCGGTCGAGCCACGGCCTCAGAGACCGACCGGCATCATGCCGGCTTTCCCTTCTGCTTGTCATACGTGATGTCCGTAGTTCGTATAGCGCAGGCATACATTGCCGTAACGAAGACATGCATGCATTGCAAGGATATACAACTTATGTTTTAATGTTGTTAGTGAATGGGTCAGTATAGTTAAAGCATCACAGAATATCGAAGAGTTTTCGCCGAAGAGCAGACATTTGATTACTCCAGGTCAATCCTTCCCCGCGTAAAGTACATTAATCTCGGGCGGCCACGCCCGCCCAGTATCAAAATCTGTTGCTGTAGTCATGGAGCAATGCCTCTGCATCCCCTGATATGTCTGCACCTCTCCCCATCTCAAATAGCCGCATTCCATGCCAAAAGACCGCATTGTCGGATGACAAGCTGCACTGATGGCTGCACTACATGTTCCAGCAATGGGCATTGTGGATGGCATATGCCATTTGCCTACCCATAGCAGTAAGACGAACAAGAATCCGCAGATGATCATGGTAACGAGCATCGCAATGGGCGAATATCCAATGTTGGACACCAGGTGTTCCGGGTCGACAACTCCGTTCTCGTCAAACGCTTGGATTCGAACAGGGAATATGGACTGTGATAACAGGTAGTGCATAAGTGCCTGCATAAGGGTAAGGAAGGTCGCCTGAAACCACGGCAAACCCATGAGCCAAAGACTTCGTTGCCGGCCACGAGGTTCAGTCACCATGAGTGTTTGAGGTTGGTATTCAAACCGGCTCCAGTCCCGGGCGAAAGCCATGGAGGTGTAGATATCCATGTATAATATCCACATTACTGCGAGGATAAACTGTGGAAGGTTGGCTATTGCCGTTATCCTGAGAACGCTGGCTTGCACTGCGCCCTCGCCCATTCCCAACATATCAGTGTTGACTTTTCCAAAGTTGCTGAAGAAGTGGAACTTATGAGATGAGTCTTTCGCCATCGTTATAGCCTCGAGCATCATTATGAACATGAGAAATATTATCATGACGACACTTGATTGTGGTTTGTTAGTTCCAGACAGACTCAGGTAGGATGCTGATCAAAGTACTATACCTTGCACAAAAGAATAGCCATCTATGCCTCGTCGCGCCCCTCCAGGAACGTCGGAGGCGTCCTCTGTACGGCTTGGCTTGAGGTCGATCCCACAGCTTCTTCACTCCTTTACGTGTAGCCAAACACATGCCAAACGTGGCATTGTCTTCTATGTTAAGGAATGAAGCAGCAGCATCTCCAGGGCATGCAAGCGGCTGTTTTTCTCTGCTCAAGTACACCAATACAAGTACCATACCAGTCAGCTTCACCGCGTTAGAAACAATTAGTAGAGCTGTAATTGTTGGAGAGTATTGAACAGAGCAGGGTGGTTCGAACTTCTCACTCAAACAATATAGAACTGTCTGGTTGAAAATTTCCCAGTCCCGCCAATTGTCTATTCCAATGATTGAGAAGATGTCTTTCGCCCTTGTATCGCATTTATCGACGAACGCATTCCGGGCAGGGTCAAAAGTATCCCTGTCTGATTGTCTTTTACCGCATATCCAATTGTTGGCATTCTTCCCAGCAAACGAAGTGTCAAATTGGAAAATTTGGCTGACTTCTTCGCTACTCTCTGTAGTCGGCACATCTGCTGCTACGATGAGCACAGTGCGATGTTTCCTCTGAAAAACGTCGGAATACGCGCTAACGCAGTCCTGATTTGTGAGATTCTCGTAGGAAGAAATAGATGATTGGATATTCTTGAAACTTTCTAATTGGATTGAAGATATCTGCGATGAGGGACTAGTGATTGCTCGTGTGTTGTTGATGTCGCGGGTGAAGCCTTCACTGACAAGTGCCCAGCTATAGCCATTCGAAGCGAGTGTAGAAAAGACGGCTGAATTAGACCTGTGACGAGTTAACACGAATACTCTATGCTGATGGCTAGGCAGCCTACAGTAGATGAAACGGCGATGAAGATGCCATCAATACCAGATAAACGAGGATCTTCCTCCATGACAGATGTTTCAGGTTCCGGAAACCTAAAGAGCCAACGCAGAGACAACGGTGTTGTGTGTGCGCAGCATCCACCTCCCCTCTTGACGGGCTGTAAGCGATGTGCATGAACGTCGTGCTAGCGGTCAATACAATTGTAGACAAGAAGTTGATAACTGCATGGAGGTTGGAGTCTAGCTTTTGGGTAGCTGCACAAGTTCCTTCACTGATGGTGCCGACTTCCCCTTCTAACCCATATCTGGTTCGAGCCCAGATCAGCCATATAATGTTGAACAGAAGAACAGCCCCAGTGGCACCAGCATATGCCAGCAGATTCTTTCTGTATCCTAATAGCCCGGAGAGCCATAACCCTCTCTTGCTAGACGTCGGTTGAACTGTTTCTGGGGCATCGCAAGGCCTAACCTCGATGTAGGTAGTGTGAAGGGATCGTGTGGATGGAATATTGCTCATTGATATACATTGTTCTGACGTGTATAATGGGTTTTGAGCTTGCTGAAAGTCATTTATGTCATTAATCCCCATGGTTCATCCGCATCTATATTATCACTGACTAGATTGTTTTGGTGTTCTCACGAAATTTTCAAATTCTCAGGCTATCTTAAATATCCATATCATTTTCAATGTTTATACGACCAAAGCCCAGAGTTTCGTTATCAATGAAACTGACGAGACTACTATCCAATGATAGTCGTGAAGCTGAAGCAGCCACATTGAAGGCGCAAAATACGATGTATACGGAAGGTGTCCCGCGTTACACGGCAGCGAGTATTGTTCAGCTCATCTGAAAAACAGCCACTTAGCATAGCCGATTGCAGCCACGCTACCAAATGGCGGTTTCAACCATAATTACAGGGGCTATACCAAGTTCAAAGGAAACACCATGCTGTCTAGGAATCTAGCGCTCAGTTTCCAATGTTAACCTATCATCTACGAAATTATTCTTCATGAGTACAACTTCGAAACAGGTCGCTAGATTCAGATTCCAGATGATTCCTAGAGGTAGCTCTATTCTAGGTCAATCCATTTGCATATTGAGTCTGAATGGCTATTCAGGAGGAAGTCGATGAACACACATAAAAGCCCTTCTACCACGCAATCGAGTTCGGAGGAATTACTTGTTGTCATTATTCTTTGGGAGTTTGTTTCTATATTAATTCGCCAGTGATTCCCATTTGCTTTAGTACATATTGGGGACCGAACTAATATTGTGTTCTGCTCAGATGTCTGAAATCCACCGAGCTCAAACACCTTTTGGAACAGATGACCGATCTTACAACGCAACCATTAGAGCCACCACATGCAAGTATTACCATCCATATACAAATGTCCTGGCACAAAACGGAACGTCTGTTGCGACAGCAACCCAATTGAACGACCAAAACGTTCAATATGTAGATCTAGTTACGGTCGTCGCTAGTGAGATTAAGCTGATCATCAGCCATCACCCAGTTGGTAACCTCGCAAAGCAGCTTCTCAACCTTGCCATTGCGTATTCTACGTCTGATTCAAGCGGAGCCTCCTTGGAGTTGACACATTCTTGACACGACATCGGAATCAGTGTTTAGCCTTATCAAGTCTAACCACAAGGTGATCGACACATGCTACCAAAGATAGCGCAGTGGAACAAGCACAGACTTCTATGACATCTTCTCTTAGCATGGCCTGTGGGACTGCAGATTTTCAACTTTAGGTACAATGCATGTCTCAGGGCCGCGGTCGGGAAGTTGACATGTCACCCTTGGGAGGAATGCCACCAAGGTTATTTCGACAGC